TTCTATCCTTGAATCTAACACCATTTTTTTAAAAATTATTATTATTTATTACGTGACATTTTCTTATTGGAAAAAACTAAATCCCAACCCATTTAATTTTCTTCTATCCCCTCCAATCCATTCCAATGCTCCATAACCCAAATCCAATTAGAAGAACTCTAGTTTCTGCATACAATACTATTTGATTGATTGTCTCAACCAGAAAGAGAATTTCCATTTTCCTTATAATTTGAAGAAGATGAAGAATGAAACTGATAATCCATAACCTGCCGATATTATTCTTGAGGGTATTTTTATCAAGATTACCAGTTAAAACTCTGCTGCGATTGAAGTGCTTATGTAAGCGCTACTGCACTTTGATTTCAACCTCCTAGTTTATCTCTCTGCATCTCAAGACGTTTAATTCAGAACCTTATAACCATTGTATCTTTGTTCAGACTGGCACAAATATCATTTGATATGTATACAAAATCCTGGCTACTTGATAAAGCTTAATGAACCATGTATGTCCAATTATACTGTTGTAGGTTCAATCAATTTACTACTACAAGTTCCCGTAAATTAATTTGCCCCTTCCATAAATCAATTTAAGATGTTCCCTCCTATGCAAAATATGAACCGTCAAATGACACACTATATTGATGTTAGTATGGGTTTTGTATATGAAAAAGATTCTGATGAATACAAGGTCGTGAGGGTTCTAAGCTATAAAACAGGTTGTCCATCGATTATACTTCAGGTTTACTCAACCAAATTGGAATCTTGGAAAGTATGGATTCTTTTATATGTTCATATTTAGTTGCTCATGACTATACCAGTATCAAAAGTTTGCTTGGGGTCACTTGTGACTCAAAGCACCGTGCTACGACTAGGGGTAGTCTCGGGTCGTAACAATAACTTTTTGTTTTACTATAATCACTCATGTTAGTTTCAGTTCTCTTGTAATGGAACTAACTTTATGTACCTATAAACTATATACTACTACTTATTTCTGGATTCACCATTGATTATTCCTATGCATATTCTATTATAAAAGTTAGCTAAATTTCATAAACGTTTTTGGTGCTAAAATGGCTTTCCCTCCTTTTTTAAGGTGTTTGGTATCTGCATTGGAGCCTAACTAATTCTTTGCCTCGGGTAGGGGGGGCATTCCGGGGGAGGGGGGGGGGCTAACTCTTCATTCTCCAACCAAAGATTTTTCTATATCGAGTTGGATTGCCTTAAACGGATGTGTGGTAATAGGTGAAACCCCAAGCCATCCTTGTTGGGGGAGATGCCAACCAGCTCTCGCTCTCGTTTATACGAGCACAATTCTTAGGTTAAGGGATGAGCAACTAGTTATTTTGTGCTAATTAATGGCTGGCACATAATTAATTTTTAATTACTTTAATCAATGGAAGCTACATATTTATGTTTTTAATCGCTTCATTTGGATACAATATTAAATCTACGACTTGTACATCACCTCCTGAATGTAACTTGTAACTTCATCAAATGATATTTCTTCATTAAAAAGTGACTAAAGATATTACTTGGCTAGACAACTAACCAAGAAATATCTGAATTACAGTATTATGTGTCTTTATAGAGTTTCAAACATCTCATAGAAAACATGGTAATGAACTAGTCGTAAGGAAATAATTGCACTTGTTGGAAAAGCTAACAAATTCTTCTTCAGATTTGAGGTATTAGTAGAACAACTGTTGCATTCCTTATGCTCTGGCACTATAACCAGTTTCTCCAGATTTATTGCATGCTCAAGTAAGAACTTCAAGAATTGATCAAGCTTTGTTGTGTTAGATGTAAGCGTACCACCACATAATGGCATAACCTTGACATTCTTCAAATTCTGTAAGGAAACTTTGAATATGTTTTCTTCAAAGGAGAGGTACTTCTTGTCTTCCAACAAATAAATGTCTTTTTCTTCATACTATAGATACCAAAGAAGGACAAATCAGGTTAGTCGTTGAGGCTGTAGGGGATCAATATACATTTGACATAAAGAAATGAATAGAAAACATACCGTCATATCAGGAAATATCATCAAATTTTTCAACTTAGGAGTCGACCTTAAGAGGTTGTCTAGTAGGAGGAACGAATGTTTTGAAATAGAAGAACTTATTGTCAACTATCTGCATTCCATCAACGGTAAGGAGATGTCTTCCTCGTCCAACATCAAATTGGAAATCACGTAAACAGAAGAATGAGGCAGAATATAAAACATGAGCTCTATTCACAATCAACATAAAAATACTGGACACATTTGGGACTGATAATTGACTTTGATCAACTAGGATGGCAGTATTAGCTCATTAGCACAACAGGCGCTTACCAAAAGATCTTCCACTATATTTTCATCACAATAGAGATCAAGATTGGCATGGTTCAAACATGAAAATTCCTCAGCTTAATTCTCGTATCATTAAAAACCCTAGAAATAGTTAAATGTTCAACATATGGAGCAACAATTTCAAAGCAACATGTATCACCTTCAAATGAATAACAATCCCCGCGGGGATGACCGTGATGGATCAATTCCAGTCGCCTACATTTTGGAGAAGTCATGTGCAAACGATTAAAACCACAAAATGTCATGTAGCTTCAAAGATTCCAATTGAGGACAATTTAACATTATTTTTTTAATGTGTTCATCCAAAAGAAACAAATCTTCCAGCGTTAAACTCTTCATAGATGTCCAATTTAGTATACAATCTTCTAATATTCTGCATTTCTCGCAGTTGAGTTTTAGAATCGATGAACTACTACAGAGAACTTCTGGTAAGCTATAAGGTTGGTCATGCTCCGTCGGATCAACAGTATACCGTATATTCATGCGTAAATCCTCCACTTTCTTTTTCATAGCAAATTCAAGCCACTTGTCAATTTTGGGAAAATAAGACAGACCATCATCATATATGAACACAAAGTTTAGATTCAACTTTTTAATGCTAGAACAGCTAAGGAGAGGTAGTACATTATCCGTTAAGGAAATGATTTTGTGCACTATCAAGTTATCTGAACGACCATACTCTTCTTCATAAATAATGTTGTCGACACAAGTCCAGAAGTATTGCCAATGTTTAGAGAGAATAGTTGTTCTGAACTCATATGTTATGGACAATCGAGATAGAATTTGAACAATAAGAGCGTCAGGTAATTGACTGATCCTATAAATATCTTCACATTCTGTCTCAATCTTTTCTTTTTCTTGAGGTGAGTTTTCAATAAGCAGACTTTCTGAGTTGCTAGAGAATTGGTCTTGGTTGCTCATGTTGTTCAAACTGTATTACTTTGGCTACCTGAAATCACAGTGTCAGCGAACCACTCAACCGTAAATATGTTGTTGAAAAATAAGAGGTGTGACCTTGGAAATGTCGAAATCCTTTGAAATAGTCACAACCTTTTCGAAAAGTCACCACCTTTCGGAAAAGTCGCAATTCTTCAAAAAAATCACATCTCTTAATAAAAGCTACTTCTCTTTTGTTGAGAAACAACACAGGGCTAAGAAGGGGGGGGGGATTTTCAGACATCAATACTGAGAATAAGTTTACTTGTAATTATAATTTCTATAGACAATTTTCGTGTCTTTTTTGTTTATTCTTTCTTTAATTTCCAACTAACAAAGTTATATCACATGACACTGTTTTTAATAATATGATAATCTACGATATTTTTTAATATATTTTTGTTTTTAAAAAAAGGGGTTGGGAAAGGAAAAAATGAAGGAGGAGATAACAATTAAGGTGAGGAATCAAACTATCTCACAAATAAAGTGAAAATTTAGTAGTCAATGCTACTAAGATTATCCCATGTAATAGTAATGATTACAATTTGCGGTGGTTTAAACCATATTCAAACCATAAAGAGAGCAATAAGATATTTTATGTAAACAAAATTATTCATCAAAATCTAAACACACAACTTAAGAAATGAAAGGATAAAGGATACATACACAAGGTAGCTGGACTTTGGTTGCCATTTCAAAATCTTGTTTTTTTTTTTGTTGTATGTATATTTTCATGAAAGGGCTAATGCCACAGTACTTATATATATAGTGGCCATGGAGTTGACCATTTAATTTTTATTTCTTTTGGTCAGACTTTTATGTTCATAGAAGGAATATATATATGTGTGTATATATATATATATA